ACGCATTTTACAATATGTATAAGGAAGGGAGAGTGTGAGAGAATAAGTGAGAGAAGGGGTAAAATAAATTCTGGAGAAGGAAACTCTTAATCATGAATGAATTTATTGAAGACTTATTTAAATAGAAAACTTAAATTGCGTAAACCTCATACGAAAATATTTCGCACGAGGGAATATCATTTTGATGCAGCCTGTCGCTTGATTTCCTCGAGCTGTCGAACCAATCCGAGACTCGCGAGATCCAATGGAGTCTTGCGCTCCTTGTTGGTAATCGTCAAGTCCGCGCCGTGCGCCGTCAGCAGTTTTGCTTCTTCCACGCGGTTCTCCTCACAAGCGAGATGCAGCGGCGTGTTACCGTACGCATCTCTCTGATCTGAGAAACAAGATAGCATGAAATGCACGAAATTGTGTATCGATATAGGAGAGCGAGCGAACCTTTGTACTTCTCTAAGTTATAATCGAAAATATTTATATATAGATATATATATATATATATAGATTATATTTGATATTTTATATATTATTATATACTGTAATGAAAGAGCTGCATTTCAATAACATACACACATACAGAGACACGCAAACACTCCGCTACCTATGTTCAATTTCTTCCCGCACTCCAAGAGGAGTTCCACGATGGTGATATTGCCCTTTGAGGCAGATCTGTGGAGAGGCGTGGCACCCCGTTTATCCGTGATGTTCACGTCTGCGTCCTTCTCGAGCAACGCCACGCAGATGGACTTCCAATTCTTAGATGCGGCGTATTGTAACGCTGAGTGACCGTCGATCGTCGTCGCGTTCACGTTCGCTCCTTCGGTCAGTAATATGTTAACGACCTTCTCGCGGCCAGCGGATGCTGCCAGGATTAGCGGAGTCATGTTTGTCTGCATAATTTAGACGCGTGATGTGATTTAACGTTTGATTTCATATGAGGATCTAGCCGACGCAACGAACGAAAGTCTCGCGATAATTATGCGACGTTATGCGCGTGTGTACAAGAGAGAGAGAGAGAGAGAGAGAGAGAGAGAGAGAGAACAGGATATGCAAAAATGTAACGCGCGATGCATTTTAGACGCATTTTCGCTTTATACTTATTTTCTTATAAGTTTTTTTTCTTATAAACGATCTTTGGAAAAATTATAATATAATTATACGTCCTCAAGTGTGTATATTATTAAGATCTCCATCTTTCTTTCGATAGATCTCTCGAAATGAGGGATGGAATAGCTTTGTGGAATTGTAATGTAAGATTTTGCTTGATATCATATATGTTAAAGTTAACTTAATTAAACTATTACTCTCGTTAAATTTTTTCAAATTATGATTTAAGAAGCGTTTTAGATAAGTAGTCTCTCTATGATTCATTAAAACTCAACTACACTACTGACTGCTATTAACAATAGATAATACATTTTGAAATATTTTTATAAAGAATGATATTTTTCAGAAAAAATGTACATGATTGTACTATTTATTTATGTTATCAGTGTGGTCTGTAGAATCTCGTTTGAAACTATGAGAGTTTAACAACCAATGCACAGCATGCAAGAATTATAATTTTCTCGAAAAGCTAATATTTTAAGATGCAAAAATAAAGTTGATTTGATATATTATTAAATAATTTATATAATACATTTTATTTTAATAATTGAAGTTGTAACAGTCATATATATATATATTCAAACAAAGATTTTTACAAATACTTCAGGAAAGAATAAATCTTTAAAAATAAATCATTTAGATATGATTATATGAGCTATTTTTAATCAGATACAACAATGTTTCGACAATTATCATATTAACAAAGAAAGCTAATAAATATACTTTACAACAATTTTTTAAAAAGAAATGTTAGAAAGATTTGTTTTAATCTCCGTATAGAATTTCATCGAAATTTCAATGAACAGCTGACATCTATTGCTTTCATCCACACGTATAAAAAAATGTATGTCTTTAATCTTGAAATTTACCAAAACTTAGAAATCCGGTACATATGTGCGTTCGTTGCGTCGTTCTAAATTTGCAATTATTAGGTCTTTCGGACTCAAAACAAGCACATTTCTTGAAGTATAAAGAAAAAAATTATAGAGAAAATTTTCGATAATTCAGTTAAAATGAGGAAAGAAATTCGATTGTCAGAAGCTTCGTGCAATCGTATCGTCGAAATTTTATCAGGCCTCTATGCATTATAATGTATGATGTAATAAGACAAGATGTAACATTTTCATGAATTCACTTGTTTATAGCAATAACTAATCGATTATTAATCAATTGTTTATAATTTTTTAATATAGTATAGCTGCAGATTAGGACAAATTTTTTATTAATTATTTTATTCATATTAATAATCTGTTAATGTTTCTGTTATTACATAGCGATTAAATTATTACATCTCATGCTTATTCTTTAAACTAAACTCTTCATACTTTTCAATCCTTTTTCTCCATCTAATTGTGGATACATACATTTCACTTAACGCTCACTCGCGAGTATTATTTGTCCTTGTTTAACATTTGATAAATAACAAGGATGAAATAATTCTAAGCGAGCATCAAGTGGAGCGTAGTCATGTCATTTTAAATGCAAAAAGTACACACAGTGCAGTTACGAAGAATTACATCTTGTTTGTTTACAATCGTGCTAATGTGAATAGCGATCAATAATGATTTCTTACATCATCCGCAGGATCCACCGGTACGTCGAGGGACAATAAATGTCTGACCAGGTCGTCGTGACCACCCAAGGCCGCCCAGTGTATCAACATTCGACCATTCTGGAAAGGAAAAATGATAATATAACCTCAAAAGCGCGCTCGACACGGCGCAATGTTGTACAATACGTACGTTGTCCGTTTGTGTTTTCAGCTTCTCATTCTCGTTCAGCAGAATCTTCACGGCCGCAGTTTTGCCGCGATATGCCAGATCATACACCGTGGACTCCTGCTGCATCATTTTCGCGGCTCTTGCGAACGATAAATAGACGAGATCTTCCTGCTCTGAATGTTACGTTTTGAACACGCGCAGGAATTACTCCGCTATTTTGTCACCAATATTGTATATTATAACTTGTCACGGCCGTCTTTTATCACGACATATTCGCATCGCACATCAGGCAAGAATTACCGTGAATTACTTCATTCTGTGTACAATGAGTGTAATGTGCAAGCGCCATCGCGCTGCCAATGATTTTCACTTTTCAGCGCTAGGTATGCATTATTTCTATCTTTATTCTCCATTAAACATAAAACAAGGATAGGTGCATTTCATTGGACGAGTTCAAGCGGCAAAGCGGCTAGGCATGCGAATGAGTATAATTAGTTTTTATCTGTGGATCCAGTGAATCCAATCAATCATGTTTAATTGCTTGGCGAGCAGAATTAGTCGCTTTGTTGACTTTAACGCGTCCATTCACGCATAATACGCATAGAGTGTCATTTTATAGTTGCTTTCTATTTTCACACAAGTGATATTGAATCTAAAGTATGTGAATATTTTACACTTAAATAATAATTTTATTACTTGCTTACTTTGATGACAGGCTTGTTCAGATTGTAAGTAGAAACTCGGTCAAATCTTGCTGATCAGAATAATGAAAAGGAACGTACATTCAACTGAATGAGAATTATCTGAGTTTAATGTACATGAAAAGTAACTTATTCTTTGCCTTTAATATTCGAATTTTAAATAGTAAAGAATAAAAAGCATGTACATTATGTATGAAACTAAAAACATTTGATATACTCAGTATTCCTTGTGAACGTGCTATATACATATATCTAGTTAAAAGCAATTATAATAATAGCATTAAATTAATAGTATTAGATTTCTGTAAGGAAAATGACTTTTTTGCACTTTTAAATGTTTGAATGAGGAAATTTGTAGATACATATCGAACAGGATCATTGATTCAAATGTTTTACTGATAAATACTAACTAATTGCAATAACATTTATATGAGTGATGAGTAAGATACTCTTAAAATTTATCTATATACAGATACAGTTACATATGTATGGAAATTATCTAAATATAGAAATAGATACACAAATATTAAGATGTATATAGGTACAGATATCAGATACTTCGAAAGTATCTTTAGATACCTTTAAGATACTCTTTAATTAATTTTATTATAATAATGGTAATGTGTAAAAAATGTATCAGTTATTAGATGAATCATTTATTTATTCATTTTTGTTACATTTATATAGATAAATGAAAAAACTTATTATCGTAAAACGATTTAAGATAAGAATTATAAAGACGATATTCATTATAATTTTACAAATTAAAAATGCTTCGAGCATCGTGTTTCCAGCTTAACTATACATGCGTTAGAAATTCCACAATCTAAAATCACTGGCTGCGTTCAGCAGAAAAAGCAGCTGTAACTGTAAAATTCTTTAATATGACTGATTTGCATTTAGATTCTGTGAGGAACTAAGGGAAAGACCAACCATGTTATAGAATTTTGCAACAGCAAAGCAGCTTTTTTTTCTGCGGAATGGAATTAATTAACAATCACACATAAAATGAAATTATGACTATGCTGAGGAAATGTATCTGAAAAATGCATCTGAAAATCAGTTCAGATGCTGCGTTTTTTTATCTAGATATAGATACAAATACTCGAATTTGAGTTTCAGATATAGATTAGATACACAAAATGTATCTCTATATCTAGATACATGTAGAGATACTACTCAACATTATATCAATATTATAATTTTCCATTTAACAATATAAATGTAATACAATACATATTGTATGTAACAATTACATTGTTGAATAGGAAATAATTGATACAATGTTATTGTTAGTTAATGTTTACAAAGTTTTTTATTTCCAATTCCATAACCGTAAAAATATTATAAACAATACAAAAAATAAAGAAATTTTATTACGAAGTAAACGTGAAGTAATAAGACTAATTTTAATATCTAAATTTAAGATAAATTATTGAAATGATTAATTAATTTTTGTTTTTGAAAACTTGTTATCACATACTAAAAGTAAAGTCAATCATGCCATTAATGTTGTAAAACATTATTTGATCAATCAATCTCGAGCTTCTTAAAGCTTCCTTCAACGCCAAATAAATCCGTTGCTATCTTTGTCTTGTCCGGTCGTAGCGATTCATTAATCCGATGATTAGCTTCGTCTTCTTTGAACCAAGCAACGTGATCTGCCAGTTTTTTCATTTGTTTGTCATGTAATTCCTGCATAGGACCGGCTTGACCACCTACTTCGTTTGGAAGAACTTCGAGTGGCACGAAGTTCTCCAGAGTGTCGTTTGTGGAATGCATATGAAACTAAAAAGTAATTAAAACATATTACATAAAAAGATAAAATACGCACGTGATATATCAGTCAATAAAGAAGAAATCAAAAGAAATAGGAATTTGATCTTCTCTTTTTCTCATTATTAATAAACGTAATGTTGAACAATTGACCTGAAATTGACTTGTATGTAATGATTTAGATCTTACCATATCCAGCAGCTGTTTTTTCATGAAAGGTTTTATCATATTGAAAATGATATCTACTACTGGAGAAACATTTGTCAAATGGAACCCTTTCAATCTAACAGGTAATCCTTCTTGTAGATAGTAAAAGAATTTCTTTAGAGTCACAGGACTTAGACGGGCGACGTGTCCCAAAGAAACGTTTTTCATGTCGACTATTAATATATGGCCATTGCAAGTACCCTCCGTATAAAGCCATAAATCGATTGTCATAAAAAGCAATTTAACTACATCGCTGTGAACAAAATACGATGGCTCGCTATCTATGAGTCTTCCATAAATGATTGTATGCCCTTCTCTAGTAGTTCCTTCCAAAATTTGAGTCGTTCTGTCGATAATAAAATCGTTTGTTCTTTTTGCGCGAAATTTCTTTGTGAGAAATGCTACATTTTTTATTACACATAAGAGATACTATGAATAATTAAAAGAAAATATCATTAATATACTTACACCGTCTTGGTTGCTTTCTTTACTTCTTTGTCGTTAATAAGATCTCGATTGCAGAAGAACTCAGGTACGTGAGTCCTGACTGTGAAAAAAGTATCGATAGTAATTTTTGTTGGCTCGAGTTGATAATAATTACTATGCAAGAACAATGTTAATTCGCTGTCTGACATTTTAGGTAGATGAGTCTGTTTTTTGCACCATTCTCTTAATATTTGTATATCTGACTCTTTCAATTCCGGATTCTTCTTTAGTTCTTCCTCGAACGATACTAATTTTATTGAAGCCATCTTTTAGTATAAATTTAAACTCCTGGAAATAGAATTAATAACTTTAATAAATTCAGCAATGTATTATATAATTATATTATCGTAGTATATGCAAGTAACTTGTTTTACATGAAATAACATAGATAAAAGCAATAATTCCTAATAAATTATTAATTGTATATTATAAATGTGTGTCGTCACATTACATAAGCTTAGATTAAAATGCATTATTATTGATTTTCTAGTTTATTAATGATAATGGATGAAATACATTTTATTCACTGAGTTTCGTTTACCTTGTATATATTCTGCCTATGTAAAAAGATGCTACGTAGTAACTCCGATGCCTTGAAAAATATTAATTGAGATCTGCATTCACATATAATAATTTTTAAGACTCGGTTCCATCACAATGTAAGATTTAATCTCGGTTTAATCTACTCTTCATCTTCTTCTGATTCTAAAAATTAGAGAGCAAAAAATTATAAATTAAACCGAGAAATATACATATAGTCGTACATATAAACTGACCGAACTTGTTTCGCACTGATGAAGAAGTGGCAATGAAGTGTATATTATATAACAGCTCAGAAAACAGGTTTCAACACGAGTAATATGAGTCACACACTTTTGTGTATATGGAATATATACGCTGAAATTTTATTTTATTTTATAAGCACACTATATAGATTTCTTGGCAAAATAGAAATCAATGAATAGAATTTAATGAAATAGATGCAAATATCCATACAATTAGTCTAAGCAACTAGGATCTTCAGATCTCAAACTAGTTTTGTTCAAAAGAATTTACAATTTAATCTCTTGAGGCCTTCATTCTAAATATCTCAAATATTACGCAACATAAAAATTTTTCATGCATGAATTTATAAATATAAATATACATATTTATGCATGCATGTGTATAAATATACATAAATATTTATAATCATGTATAATCATATACAAAATACGTCCATACATGTTCATACATCTCTTTTTCTTTTGTAAAATTACTTTTTAGTGTAATAGAAATAATAGTAATGTGAAAATATTAACAAAATTAATAATGAGGTAATTTTCGCATTGTTCGTTTCAGAAAAAAGCAAATTTGGAAAAATGTAAAAAAAATTGCTCATTATGCATAATTATGCATAATTTTATATATAATTATACATAAATAATTTTTTTACATTTTTCAAACTTGATTTTTTTCTAAAACAAATAGTATGAAAATTATCCTTTTAATTATTTTTTATGTTTTTACAT